CCCCGAGCGCGGCCCGACGGAGCCCCGGGTGCCAGAGCAGCGAGCCCGGAGCGAGGGCCGCGGGGGCGGGAGCCCGCGGCGGCTCGGCGTCGGGCAGCCCGTGGGGAAGGCGCCGTTCCCGGGTCCCGGAGCGCCGTTCCCGTGAGCCCTGCGGCAGCCGGCGCGGGATCCACCCGGCTGGCGCGGGATGTGCCCGCGCGGGATGCTGGGGCGGCCCCGGGATGCCCAAAGCTCCCTGCCTCCTTGCCGCTCAACTAGTGCCCCGTCAGCTGCCTGCCGACCTTTGGTGCCTTGTGAAAGCCCTGGCAGCCTCTGCGGCTCCTGCGGCTTGGCTTCCAGCTTGGAAGGCTGCCGTGCTCCTGCCAGGGGTCAGGCTATCGGCTCACAACGTCAGCTCTAGACCACGGCTCTCTCCTCAGTTGCGCCCCCATGCATCTTATGAGCAGAGAACCCCAGTGCAAACGTTGGGATCGTCGCTTCCTGCAGGCGCAGGTATCAGCCTCTGGTTGTGCTTGGCCAGCGGCTCAAGGATAAAGGGTAATAAAGTGGATAAAGGAATTGTCCTTTGCCCCTCTTATCGGCGTGATTCCCAGCCCAGGTAGGAAGAGGAGCAYGGGCAGTGTGACCCGTGTCCCTGTGTTCGTCCCGTCCTCTGCTGCGGTGTCAGGACGGGAAAGCGGGTGCTGGTGCCGGCTGCCTGGGGGAGGCTCTCCCTGTAGACCGACGTGTGGCCATCGGGAGGGAGCTCTCCTGCATCCTGTGCCTGCTGCCGGTGCAGGAGGGTGCTGCCCTGCTCCAGCAGGGGCTGGGGGCCTCCCGCTGGAGGCAGAGGCTTCCCCYGGACCACTCATTTTCCCTGGCACCTCGGGCTGGATTCCTCTGAAGTTCATCCTTCATCACCAGCAATAGGTTGGGGGAGACTTCCTGGCCCTGATGAGAGGAGGATGCAGCAAAGCTGGGGCCTGTTGGGTCACCTTGAGAAGGAGACAGTTGGAAATACTGTAGGAAGAAAAGTGTTTCTTTCTCATCTTTAAAAACTAGTGGTTTTGATGCYAAGTGGCTGTTTGGATTGCTGTGGCAATGTGTTCTTTTTCAGTACCCCCACAAGAAACTTCACCAAGATCAGCACTCTCCCATTTCCCTCCTCTTACACTTTTTTGAGAGTGTCCTCCTCTGCACTTCTTGGGAATTGAACTGCAAACTCTTTGTTCTGTGTCGTTGTAGTGGGTTTATGATCACCTGCATGCATTTGCTTCTGCTTGTGCTCTGACTTGTTGGAATTTGGGAGTGGGGGGTACGAGCAGGAGGAACCAAGTCAGCCAGCAGTGCCCTGGGAAAAAATATCTCTACTGCTTGTGATAAAATACACAGCACATGTTTTTGCAGAAGTTCCTGCACTGCTGTGCCGCTGGTTGCAAGGTCTCTGTGAAACTTTTCTTGTGTCTGTGTGGTTTTTTTTTCCCTTTCTCTCCCAGTGACTTGTATCTAGCTTGTTCTCGCCTCAGCGCGAGGTGGGCGGATGATGAGATTTCTCATGATGAGATGCATGAGGTTTCTGGGTGCATATGGAGACRAGGTAGAGCAGAGATTGCCAGGCTTGATAATTTCAGGTTGTGATAAATGAGCGCGGCAAGCTCCGTTGCCCTCTCCCCTGCTTGGCAAGCAGTGCAGCAAGGATGGAATCATTTCCCCCATTCCTTCAGCAACGTARTGAAATGAAATCCAAGTCATGGATTAATGCAGTTTGGAAGGGACTTCAGGAGACATCTGGTCCGGACCCCTGGTCAAAGCAGAGTTGACCTGAGATCCGACCGGGCTGCTCAGGGCTTTATCCAGGCAGCTCTTAAACTCCAGGAACAGGATGGGGACTGCACAGCTTCTCCAGGCAGCCTGTTCCACTGCTTGGATGCCTTTCTGTAGGGGACTTTTTTCCCTACCCTATTACCTATTTATTACCTTATTACCTATTATTGCAGTTAGTTTTTATTTATTTATTTATTAATTAATATTCCAAATTCTCTGGTTTGACAGCATGAGTTGTAGTAACACAGTCCTCTAGAGCTTCTAGTATTTTWATCATCCAAATACTTTAACTTTAGTTTTTTTAACCTGATTCACAACTACAGCTCTCTTAATGAGACATATCTATATATATATGTGTATATATATAAAATTTGGCTGTAACCATAGAGGAAACAGTATTATTTAGGCTATTACCAGCCATATTAGACTTCAAGAGAAGCTTAGATCCTAGAAAAGCAACCATATCCTTCCCTGGTGGTTTTGCTACCATCCTATTTGAATAATGATCACATGTTTAGTGATTACAGGATGGCTGGCTGATGGAGGTGGTGCTTTCTAATGTGATGAATACAGCTGTACCTTTGTACTGGGGCCAGCTGATGAACAAAAGTTTTCAGACATTAGCTTGCCTTAATGGGACATATTGGCTTTTATTGACTAGAAGTGCAAAAAACATCTCATACGGAGCGCTCACATTGAGCATTTRTTCTTCAAGAGGTCGGTCAGATGGTGCTCTCAACTGCTTCTCCATTTCTGTAACTTTATTTTTAGACGAAAGGAGGGTTTAAACCCTCCTTTTCCCGTGTGGCTGCTGGCCCAGAGCCTCCTTCCCCAGCCCCAGTGAGCCCGCTCTGCCCGTTGTCCTTGGCTGCCTTGGGCCAGCGCAGGCCGAGCGCTGCCACGTGTGGGCTCATGATCCAGGAGCCGCCTGTGCCTTTTGCATGCAGGGATCGCCAAGGAAGACATGGAAGATGTAGCTGCCCACCAGCGAGGGGGAGTGAGTACTTACATGTGTCCTACAGTCAAGTCCCTTAAATCAAGACCACACTGGACAATTTGAAAGYTTCAGTGGTGAGAGAGCGGGAGGAGTAATAGCAAGTCCTAAATAAAATCTTTGCAGTAATAAGGCTAACAAGCAATTAATTAACCCTTTGTGTGATCTTTATTTGAAGAAGTGACAAGGTGGTTTTTGTGCTTGTAAGAAGTTTGACTTAGAATCTTTGTATCACATGTGCTTTATGTAGTCTTGGGAACAGGTTGTTAACAGGTTTATTTTCTTACAAAATAATATCTGATCCTTATGAAGTGGTTGGGGCAATAC